TTGAAAATGTTTTAATCATACACTATTTTGTGTTTCAACTAATATAAACTCTATAATAGTAAAAATATATCATAATTAATATCTATGAATAAAAAAAACATCATTAATGTCACTAGAATATGAAAAAACATGACTTATGTTTTTATCTCTTTTTATCGTCTGCCCTTCACTTCTCCAATGTTTGTCCAACTATGCCACTTTGAGATGCTTTCTGGATGCTGTTTTGATGGTACATTAAATAACATTTTCTTTTACAGTCAACACTGGATACTTGAAATGTGGCACAAATATCTACAAGCTGTGAGATATCATTTAGCTCCTCACATTTAAGTGCTGCAGCAACCACATATGAGAATGTCCTGATTGACACCTGTTTATCTGTTTATGTTTTCGCTTCATCATGTACTTGAATTTACCAAAAATAAATAAATAAAACGTTTTTTTAAAAAGGATTGCGCTGTGTGGCGAACAGGCGTATCTTCAGCTGTGTGCATGCTGGATAGCAGGGCTTTTAGAAGCCGGTGAGTTTCATTGTTCAGGAAGCTTAGACTGATAAATAATTTGAACCACCACATTCTTCTTCCTGTTGGATTCACAGTGCTTTCTTTGCAGGTTATAAGTTTAAAAACTAATGATACACGGAGTCAAAATAATAGAGAAAAAATGGTTATTGGTCTAACTGATTTATTGTTTATGTTGGATTTTAATCTATCCACTGCACAGATTTCCTTCTGCGCTGAGAATACTCAAAAAGTGCACAAGCACGCAGCTTAGAAGGGAGATTGCCTGTAAGGTTAGATAACTCCTAATTAAACAAATAACGAGTAACCTAAGTTTAAGTGCAGTGATTGGTATTAATGATAATGTGTTGGTATGCAGTATAAGTTAAGTATTGTGCAACATATCCTGGTTAAAGCCAGACACTCACACATCAGATTTTACAATGCCATTGCACTATAATCTGGTGTAATAATACTGCAATAACTTACACTATTTATCTATTTAACAAACCAGAAACAGCACTTTTCCTGCCACCACTTTACTGTACATAAGATATATATTTATATAAGTCACCTTAAATCTCTCCTTTATTTTTTTTACTATCCACTGTATATATCTGGATGCACTGTATATATGTCATGTACCTTTTCCATCTTTGTGCACTTCCTGTTTGTTTGTAAGTGCCGATGTCACAAGTGAATTTCTCCACTGTGAGAACAATAAAGTTTTATTCTATTCTATTCTATTCTATTCTACACTACTATGGTGGGTATACTGTACAGCACGTGGTCCTGCCTACCCACAAGATGATGGATCACACCATTTGGTGGGTTAAAATATTACTTTTTGAACTAAGTACAACATTGTTATTACACTAGAAAAAAATTTTTTCTATATATGTTAAAAAGGCCATACAGTATAAAAGAAAACTCAGATTTCTGGGGTGTTTTAATTCAACGAGCTAAATATGCCTATGTTTGCGATTGTAAAGTGACAAAATGCTATAAAATGTTAAGGTATATACAGATGCATTTGCTGAATACTGTATTATATGTAAGTCTTGCTATGTTTGTATTTTGATGAAAGATAGACAACAGGGGGAGGGGGTTAAAAATATCTTTTTGTCATGTTGTTTGCCTTTTGCTCTCCCTCGCCAATTTTTTTTCAGCATAAACATGTCTGAAAGCGTAGAAGTCATTTTAATCCCCTCGCCGGCCTGTCATCACATCTCCATTTCATATTAAGGCTTGCACAATGAGTGGGTAAACAGATGCATGGTACACTGAAATGACAAAAAATGATAATGTTAAAGTAAACAAAAAAGAGAAATAAAAACTGCTGTCAACAACAAAAAAGATCAAAGACGACTTTGACCCTTAAAAAATGCCCTCCTAAGCTCTTTGCTGTAATTTCATTACATTTTCTCTTCAAAGTGATCAGGTTACCTTGTAAGACAAAAACAATATCCATTTAGGTTCAATGATAAAGACCTGAATACAAGACAGTAAAAATACTATGACACTTGAACAATATTTTTTTTTAACTTAAACAAAATATAAAGTGTTTGTCCATCCTCATTAAGTGAATCAACTAGATCACATTTCCATTACAATTTCGATTTATTAACAATTTCAATTTAATATGTTATTGAGTGTTTTTTTCTCATTTCCCAAAGATACATGAATTGGATTTCAAAACAGGCAACTTCCCCATACTGTCGGATCTCTGGAAAACTAATTATCTTGTCATGTGAATTTGAAAGTTACAGACCAATAGAAAACAAGTAAACTTGAGTAAAAATGATTAAATTGTCTCCAAGGTTTAAGGATAATTTTGGGGGATTTCTGCTGTTTATTATAGGAATAATTTAGATCAACGCTGGTTTCAACATATATGATCAGGTTTCATAGTAATAACTGTTGTTACAGATCAGCTTTGTTTGTCTTTTGTTTTCAACATTATTATATATTTTAGAATTGTGAAAAAGAAATATTGGCTGTCGCTCTGATTATGTTTTGTTCAACAATATGTATAATAATATGTATCTAGTTCCACCTAGTGGATGTTTGTTAGCATTACACATTTTTTCTATTCCTTGTAGAATCTGTTGGAAAATGTGCCAGACTAAAAGCATAAAAACTATACACTACACTACTTAGCTATTATTTAAAATGAAGATTAGAGAGTGAAGATTATTTAAGTTATCCTCTCATGTGAGTTGTGTTACTTGGCTCGAACTTAAAAAAGGGTTACCAGATGATAAACTCTTTAATCATTGTTTCATATCTAAAATTTGATCTACGCATTAGTAGAGTATAAGAGCATTTACACTAAAAAGCAGATTCTCCAGAACAATTTGAACAAACATTATTTCTAAATGCTTAGCTGCTGTTCAAATGCTTTCAGAAAGTGTACATAATGAGCAGTAATTTCCAACAGATGTTGGCTTCAGGATCATTCAAATACAGAAAAACAAGCTTTCATTCATTAAAAGTAAAGCTTTTATTTATCACTTTTTATTTATAAGATGAAACTAGATAGATAAGGACTTTATGAAGGAAATAAAATAAATAAATTAAAATTGATTAAAAACATATTTAATCCAGAATGTAATAATTTACACTTATTCAGAACCATGGAAATTCATTTTACGGTATAACAATTTAGTTAAAATGTTGCCTTTTTTTATGAATATTGTGAAAAATCGGTTTCATCTAATCATATGTAATGGAATGGGCAATTAACAGAGATGTAAGTTTAATATATTAATACTCCAATTGTCTTGGAGTATTTGAGAAAAAGAAAAAAGTGTTGTAACCGTAGCTAGCTGATTCCTCTCCACAACCACAAAACTCGTTAGAATCCAAAGAAATAAATTTAGTCATGTTTAAAATAACAAACTGTTTCGTGAGATAATGACTTTTTGTCTTCTGTACAAAGCTTTTACAACATATGCAGTCTGCAATGGAATAAGAATGAAATTAAAGGATTCAGGGCCCAATACATGGACAAAATGTACTACAAGGCAAAACTCCACTTCATTAGTCTGTGCAGCATCTCTTACACAGTAATAGACTGAGAGTTTTTATACTGTAGGCCTACGTTAAAAATATAATAGCAAAACATCTAATAACTAAAATAGACCTGAGGGTCTATCTAAGTCAGAGCTACACAAGCCCCCGTGCAGAAATTGGTGTTGGGTGTGATCATTTACTGTATCTTTAAATGACCGCTGAACAACACGACCTCGTACGACACTAGTTTCTGTCAGATCGGACACAAAACCAGATTCAGTATATTCAGGGCTTAATACGCAAAGCCAAAATATTCCGGTGGTTGAAATCTTGTGGGTAAATGCACCGTCATAGCTCATATTGCAAAAGAGGATGGCATCGACATGGAATGTAGTATTGTGAGGCTGGTCTAAACCTCCACTTTATGTACTGTTGGGTGAATTAGTGGTTAACTGTAACTTATAATTAGCCCATTTATAGTTAGCAGTTTTTACTTGTAATTTCAGCTTGACTTAAGCCACTCTGCTTCCACCTGTTCCTGTGTGCACACTCAAGGCTGCTCTAAACTTATCAAATGTTTTTTCCCTGATAATGAAGTAGGAAGGCTGCTGGCCCTGTACTCACCAGAACTGATAATAAATGTTAAATCGTGGACTCATTAGTAAGAATGGGCAGTGATTGAAGGGAAGAGACAGAAAGATACCTGATTCTATTTTAATAAGAACATCAAATATTATACCTTTTTTTTTTTTCTTTTAACAGACATAAACTTCTAAACTCCATTTTCTTTAAATCCTGGGTCTTTCTTAAAACATCTAATCTGAAGTCCCAGAATCTCAGGTCTGACCATGGCCTGGAAGATAATACAATGAATTCTGCTTCTGCTTCTACAGCTGGACAGAAGAGAATCATGAAGAATACATGTGAAAAACAGTGTAGTATGGGCAAAAATTATCTAGGCAGCCAGTATTTTTTTTAGAATACCTGTTTGAAGATGTTTCTGACCTCTCGTTACACCGACTCCACAATCAGTAGATTTTGATCTCTGTTTCAAACAGAACCATTTTCCTCCATGCTGTAACAGACACTGGCTCCTTTCCGCTGTGGCATGACATTTCCTTGTCAGAAATATGAATTGAGTCTATGGAACACTGACCTAAAAGTAAAAGGGGGAGCATGCTATAGTCATGCTGCTAAAGAGGCGTTGTCAGCATCAGATTCCAGCCTCCTGCATGGCACAACCAGGAGGCAATAAGCACACAAACCTTAGGGATCTGCTATGGGCATACATATGTAAAGTTTCTTAAATGTATGCCAGTTCTATACCCTATGAGAACTGAGATCTCAAAGTATGCTACATAATTGAGAGGGAACAACTGAAGCCATAACCATCATCTCAGAAGTGAGGGGGGACACATTTTACAGAGCTATTTATCAGTCCATAATCCCTGCCTGTTTTTTCCCTGCAAAACATATTCTTCTTACCTGATAAGACCCTGCATCATTCTGCCTGCTGCTGGCCTCTGATCCACCTCCTCCCTGATTCAGCTTTTTTTGCTATGGCAATAAAGATAAACGAAATGTGGAGAGCAACATTTTGAAATGGCATTAGAAAGAGTAAAATTTGCAGTGGCAATTAACCTCAAAATAACTTTTAACTCATAGATATATTTTTTATCAGCTACTTTTATTCTTTATTTACCTGTGCAGATCCTGCATGCTGGACTCTGCTGCTGGTCTCTAGTCCATCTCCTCACTGACCTTGCTCTTTCTATTATGGCAATCAACATAAAAAAATGTGAAAGCAACATTTTGAGATAAAATTAGGAAGGTAAGCAGCAGCAGCACAAAAAAAAAAAAAAAAAATTCCTTACCAAACTTAATTCGCTCTCCTTATTGTGACGAAAAGACTTATTTTAAATATGTGGAGAGCAATGGTGAGCATAAAGCCCAGAAATGAAAGAGGATTTGGGTTTATAAACTAACCAGCAAATAATTTCACAGATGTATAAACTTTTAGAATTACTGCTGGTAACTAGTATAAACTGTATTAGCATGTTTACCTTATCATCATTTAACTAATAGTAAATTTTGCAAACGGCTTAAACGGTTTGTTTGGAGAAAAACTGCAACGTTTCTTGCTTCTTGCTTGTTGGTTACTAATCATTCTGAGGCATCACGCCGTTCCTAGCGTGAGTATCATGGTGCGTTCAAAGACAGCACGGGAAAATAAGCTACTGCATACTAATAACGGGTTGAACTGTTGTAACGGCTGTAAAAAAAAAAAAAAAAAAAAGGTGGGGGAAACACAGGGGGACAGATAGTAAAGTGCGGAGGACATGCGTACCCCGCCGTGATCTTTAGCACATTGGGTAACGTTGTAACACAGGAAAACTTTGAAATATATTAACGAACCTTGCAAAAGTTTTTTTTGTTTTTTTTTGTGGAACCTGAAGGCAAACTGGACATGCTTTGTTTAGGCCGGTAGACAACAGAGCTCAAAGCAATCCCTGTCTTGTTTTTAAATTTTTTGGTAGGGAGGGAGTTGCTGTCGAAACAATTCAGATTATATATGCTCGTAAGATCTTGAAAGGTACCAAAGTGTACCACTGATTATGAAAAAAAAACGGGGGGTGGGGGGTATTTAAATACTATGCATGTTATGTGTATTTCATATATATATATATATATATATATATATATATATATATATATATATATATATATATATATATATATATATATATATATATATATATATATATATATATATATATATATGTGTGTGTGTGTGTGTTACTTGTTTTTGGATCCGGGACTCAACGGATCCAAAAACAACACATCAAAAGTTGGGTTGCCTCAGCCATCCTATTTCTACTTTGCAGATATATTTCAATATTATGCTATAAATACCTCTTAGCTTAACTATGTTTTTCATGTTAACTGAGTATATAATTATTGCCATATTCTGTGTACAGATATAATTACCTTATATAGTTATATCAGCATGTTTACCTACAGTATTTGAGAATGTGTTAAATACCCTTTAGTGGCTGTATAGGCTCATTGCAGCCCCCAAACAGACATCATATGTCCACTACTAGTGCATTTTTCACTATTACATTTTAATGTATTATCACTTTTTGGTAGCTTTTTACAAACTATTTTTGCACAGCCTGTTTTTTTTTCTCCTTTGAAGTTAGTGCCACATTTTAACTCATTAACAACATACATCTTTGAGCAGAGTTATAACTCTTGTGTTATTTTGCTTTTTGACTATGTTCAATTGCCTGTTTGAAGAATTTATTTATTTATTTATTTTTTTACTTCTGGTCAACAGTGTATTGTACAAAAGTGCTGCTACTGACTTTCTTGTTTTTTTGTTCACCTGGGTTTGCACTATTATACAACTGACAAGATTAGAGTTTTCATATGTGTGCTACCATTTGTCCAACATTCTTATTTCTACCGGATTTCTGTGTGATACCTGAAGAATAATAAATAGACAAAAGAATGCTTCAGTTCTACATTAGTTATTCATTTATGGCAAATTACATTCAATGCTTTACACATAGAATAAATTCATTAAGTGGTCCACAGAGAAAGTGGGTATCACATGTTCAAAACAATACTGGGGAACATATTGGTAAGAGTACAGCACACTGTCACAATTTTCTCCACTATAACCAAGACATCCTTAATGGCTGCACCATGCTCAGTGGTATGTTACCCCGTAGTAAGGTGTATTAGTTCTGTTAGTCTGTTCTCCTCCAGCAGATGCTCAACTTCTGCACGTCTATGACAGCACAATCCAGACTCTTTCTGTTCTTCTTTTTAATATTTATCCACCTCTGCTTCCACACTGCGTTCTGTTTCATTAAATTCTTTCCTTCCCATGAGATCGCTCCTCTGGTAGCTCTGTGCCTCTTCCTTCTGCATGCAAATCGCTCAGGAGTTATTGCTTTAACTTCTTTATGTCAAGATGTAAACAAAGCACCCAGTCAGGATCACACTCCATAAATTCATAGGCAGGTTTCCCTGATAGAAAGTAGATGCTTAGACTTATGTGGCTTTAATATTTAATATGTGCAAAATAGGATTTAAACCAAACAAAATAGGATTTAAACCTTTTTCTTTATAAACTTAGCATAGTGGAAATCGCGTTAACACAAAAACATTGCCGAGGAAATGTTGTGGAATGCCATGTAAGTCCACCATCCATGCCATCCGAAGCGCCTCTTTGTCAGTTCTGCAACCTGAAAAACGCTCTGTTAGTAATATCCGATTTCCCCTTCGATTATGAGGCTGAATGTGGCAGTTGACTACACAATATCTGTTGGCTTTTTTTTAGATTACTGACCAAAACAAAAACTCACCAATCCAGCTGAAATGCCACCTTTTGTAGATTCTGTGTCATATAGTCCCAAGATGCATTGTGTGGCTGATGTCACTTTCACAAACCCACAGGGCAAAGCAAACTAACATTACCACACATGACCACAATAAATCAATAAGAGCCTTATTTCTTAAAGCAGTATCCTACCTGTTCCATAAGGGGAAATTAATGGACTACTCCAACTGGAAAGAGGTTTGGCTGCTTCCTAATCGATTTTTAATATCCTAAATAACAACATTAAAATAATCCTATTTAAGTTGATCCATGATCTTTATCCTACCTTTTTAATCCAGAAATGCTTTAAAAAGAATATTGATGATAATTACAGCTGCTTCTGTAATAATTCTGAAGCATCTGTTTTGGTACTTGCCATTTATCCAGTCCTTTTGGCATGACACAGCTCAACAACAGGAAAAAATAAAGACTTTCTTTGATTCTGGAAAATATTGTTCGGCATTAAAATAAACTGTAAAATTAGAACAAAGAGATCAGATAATGTATGCTATATATTATTTACCGTATTATTTTTATGGCTAAGTTTTTTATGCATGAATGCAGATTTCTAGTTACTAAACCATGTACCACTGCCTTTATAAAGGAACTTATGATACATGACTTATAACTTATGCGTTCTACCTCATGTGTGAAAGGTTAATAAAACTCTAAGAATATCATTGTTTCTTCTCCTCATATTTAAAATGTACCAAAAAACAAAAACAAACTAAACTTTTGAAATACTCATATTGCTGATGATTGTGCTAGTATCACTTACTGGCGTTTCAGATAAGAGAACTGACATAGCTCAACCTTATCCAAAAATATGTTAATAAAATGAACAACTCCAGGCAAGGGCTTACGCTGATGTGCCGATTAACGTCCAGTAGATGGCGCCATAGGATTGTGTATAAAAATGAAAACCATCACCTGTTAAAAAAGAAAAAAATATATATACAAACTTATATATATATATATATATATATATATATATATATATATATATATATATATATATATATATATATATATATATATATATATATAAAAACTTTGTATATACAGAGTAACTTTGTCCAAATTTATTTATTTCAGTTTTCAACTTATAAAGTTAAGAACTTAAGTAGAGTTACCTTGTTCCAATTTCTTGTTACCAATTGAAGCAATTAATTTACGTTAGAGCTGCATTTTCTTTACGATCCTAATGGACCTCTACAGAGGATGGCTCTCCATAGCTGGGGGGTTTCCTACTTTTCTGAGCCAAGGCTGACTCAGCCAATGTCCTGTCAAAAGGCCTTCACCTGCCTCTGGGCATCTCACCTCTCTGGTTTATGTAGGGTTTGTCTGATTATGCTCTGCAATTGCTCTAAATGTTGTGCTGCACCAGGTCTTAGTGAAAGTCAATTCACAGGGAGAGTCTACAGCAACAGGGCCCAAAACCCTGGACAGCTCTCCATTAATCATAGTGTTTCTGGAACCCCTTCATCACGTTAAGATGATAATCCTTTTGATCAGCTCTGGAACCATGTGTGATCAATAAATACTACTAATGATTAATCATAACCCTTTTTCTGCTTTTATTTATGCATGTCAGATTAATGATCGACATTCAGGATAAGGATCAGTTAACAACATCCATATAACTGATATATGTGTATAAGAAGACATGCAAAATCTAACTTCTCATGATTTTTTCCCCCAAATACTTCAAGTCGCCACAAATAATTTTACACATCTCCACTTCCACGGTTCCCCCAGTAGATAGCGCCATGGGATCACGGATATTTATGGCGAATCGGTTTGATTCTTCCAACTTTAACGCACCATGAACCAAAGCAACAGATACCACCAGTGAAAAGTTGAAAGTATTTTTGTAAAAAATAAAAACTTAATTTAGAAAATGTAAAAGAAGAATCCAGCTACCACATTTTACCTTAGCTGATCCAACATTAGGCACTTCTTTATCCGGTGACCTGAAGAGGGTCACGGTCAGGTGGCTGTTGCGCATCGGCGCTGAGAAAGTAATGGCTCTCTTCCTGTCGGACAATGAGGTGAACCGGGTGATAGGGGCGGATGAGACCGGCTTAATGCTCCGTGTAATGCATGTTAATAACACAGGCACCGAGGGAGCGCCTGACGGAGCGCTTTGGGATTATTTATCACAAAACATTTGTATTCTTCCGTCGGAGAACGCTTGATCCCGGATAGCTGTACACTAATCCTTCACTCCGTTAATTAAAAAGAAGGGGAAAGCAATGGAACTGGTTGTGGTGGTGATTTTTTCCCTCTTTTTTCAGAAATGTAATCATTTCTGGAGAAGCTTAACCATCTGTTTGAGGTTAAGTCTCCAAGCAGATTGTGTTTGCTGCTTATTTAAACCTAGGGACTTTAGGGTTTTTTGGGGTTTTGTTTTTGATTTGTGGGAAGCGTTGCGTGTCTGTGCCTGTTAAAGGAAGCGAGACACATTATTTTATTCAGCGCATAATAAGGATTTTATTTAGCAAGTCTTCATCTTGAAACCTATGCAGTGGTGATAATTAGTCAAACACAGAAAGTTTATTAGTAACAGTTTGGTAATTTGCCTTTTCGCTTTGACAAATAAAGTTTAATAATTGATCTCTATCTACTTTGATGACCGTGAAAATATCCCACGAGGCTCACGTCTCCAATGAGGATTAAGCATCAGCTCGAAGTTAAACAGACGCTTTTCATCACATCCTTATAGGAGACACGAAATATCCATTTCCTGTTCTTGTGCATTTGCATATATCAATTCTATACCCATTCACTTATTATACAAAATGCTGCTTTGGGGTCAAGGCTGTGCCTTAAGCCCCAGTAAGAGACTCACATTTCACACCACAGTTTTGCATTAGGATGCCACTCATGTCTGTCTGGAGACGAACTTGGACTCACAAAGGCGCCATTTGATTCCTTCTTCACTCTGGTTTTCACTCTCTTTCCCAGTCGTTCAGCTGTTTCTTACATTCTGGGATTAACAGGAGGGAGATTAGATCAGAGGAAAAGGTTGCCTCGCTTTAGAGAGTTCCATATTTCTAATAAAAACTGTATGACTGTTGCTTTCTTCCACTGGCGTTATTTATAATCTGTTATATCAGCTTCCATGTGAAGATTTGATTTCCTCTCCCCTGGCTGTGAACAGCTTACCTTTGGAATACACAATGTTTATTATCTGAACTGTACCTCATTAGAGAGAAGGGTGATTATGTCTTCATATCATAGCTTTTATGTTTATTGTGTTTATACATGTTCTGGTCTACTTAAGTGAATTAAAATCGTGTAATGCCCATTTGTATGTCTGTACTGTCCACTCAGAGCTGTCAGTGTAATCCTTTTTTAAGCTCAAACACACTCATTTGAATGTTGATTAAAAATGAATATCCTGACCTATCAAAGATTCTTTTTGTAAAAGCCTGTTTCGCGTGTGATGATTAATGAATAGGACTGTTTTGCAGTGTGAGCATTCATCTTCAAAGGCCTCGAATCAAAAAGCATTATGGAGTCCCAGGTGCCTGCTGCTAGTGGCTACTGGGCCCTTTGAGCCAAAGCAAAGGGAGATAAAACATTTGGTAACCACAACAATAAACTATATAAGTTTTCTGTGTTCCAAAGCTCCAACTCTGTCACTGCTTAACAACGTTGATTCCTGCTGTTATGTTGTAAGACTTCTTGGATATCATTACAAATCCTTATCCGGTAAATGCAGACTAGAAAGCAACCACTATTCCTTTCCTAATCCAAATCTGGCCTTGACGTCTGGTGTCAAACATACTCCCTCTCCTCTCTTTATTGGGTCAGGGAGGAGGATGTGAAAGGGTTAAACGTCTACAGTAATTAGAGTCGCACTTATCGTCAGCGTCCTCCAATACGGAGCAGTGAGGGCCTACATCCCCCCCACCACCTCTCTCTCCTCTCCTCTTTGTCACACACACACATACACAGCATTTCTCTCTCTCTCTGTCTCTCTCTAACATACACACATCCACACACACGCCTTTCCACCAGCTCCTCCGAGTGTCTAATACACTGGAAAATCAAAGCGCGAGCCTCCCTCTTTCACACACCAGCGTTGCGCGTGGTGCACAGCACACAGAGCAACCTTCCTTCTCCTCTCGCTCGCTGTTTTTCCATCTGCAGTTTCCCATAAAGTTTTTTAAACAGATATATGTTAAAACTTTTTTTTGATTATATGATCTTTTTAGCATCCAGAAAAAAAAACTCTTTATGTTTATTTCATTATATTTCAACCTTCTCAGCTGTAAAGGTGACAGGCTTTATGAGACAAAGCATGTCTGGGTGAGGTTATTTTTACGCACGCCGCGGAAATGGAACATAGACTGTGCAGAGGCAGCTGGATTCCAGTGACTGGTCTGGTCATATGTCTACTTCTATGTGCTTGTGTGGTGGACCTTGTTCTTGCGCAGATTCGGTACTCCATCCCAGAGGAGCTGGACCACGGAGCTTTTGTTGGCAACATCGCAGAAGACCTGGGTCTAGATGTGGCTAAGCTTTCAGCCCGGAGGTTCCGCATCGTCTCTGGCGCAAAGAAGCAGTATTTAGAAGTGAATTTGGAGAATGGAATCCTATTTGTTAACGAAAAGATGGACAGAGAGGAGCTCTGTGAAAGACGCCCGAGCTGTTTTCTACATCTGCAAGTTGTCATTGAAAATCCATTAGAACTGTACAGAGTTGAAGTGGAGATTTTAGATGTGAATGACAACTCCCCCAGCTTTCCATGGACTGAGTTTAATCTCGACATCACAGAGTCTGCTGCACCTGGCTCTCGCTTTCCTTTAGAGAGTGCACAGGACCAGGACGTGGGTACAAACTCACTGCGCTCCTACCAGCTGAGCTCAAACCAGCACTTTGTGCTCAACATCCAGACGCGCAATGATGGCAGCAAGTTTGCTGAGCTGGTGCTGGACACCCCGCTTGACAGGGAGCAGCAAAAAAGGCACGAGATGGTTCTTACTTCTTTTGATGGAGGTTCACCGGAACGCACTGGGACAGCGCTGATAACCATCACTGTGTTAGATGCCAACGATAACGTGCCTGTGTTTGACCGCTCAGTTTACAGGGCGAGCTTGGTGGAAAATGCACCCAGGGGAACGCTGGTGCTGAAGTTAAACGCCACAGACTTGGATGACGGCTCAAATGGGGAAGTTACATATGCGTTTAGCGGGCATGCACCTTTAAAGGTGCGCGAGTTATTCAGCGTGGACCCCTACATGGGTGAGATACGTGTCAAGGGCGTCGTGGACTATGAGAAAGCCAGTGTTTATGAACTGTACGTTCAAGCAAAAGATAGAGGACCGTCCGCAGTAGCAGTGCACAGTAAAGTGCTGGTGGACATCCTGGATGTGAATGACAACGCACCCGAAGTTATCCTCACGTCAGTGTCCACACCTGTCCAGGAGGACGCACCGCCAGGCACAGTAATAGCAGTGATCAGCGTCATGGATCGAGACTCGGGAGAGAACGGGAATGTGGACTGCCAGATTCCAAATAATGTGCCCTTTCAGCTCCATTCATCTTTTAAAAACTATTACACTCTTGTCACCAGCGAGCCTCTGGACAGGGAGACTGTGTCTGAGTTTAACATCACTCTCACAGCTAGAGACTTGGGCTCTCCTTCACTCTCTACCAGGAAAACAATCCTGGTGCAAGTGTCTGACATTAATGACAACCCCCCGAGGTTCTCTCAACCTTCATACACAGTTTATGTGACCGAGAATAATGCCCCAGGCGCTTCCATTTGCTCTGTATCTGCGTTCGACCCTGATTCTAACCAGAACGCCTATCTGTCTTTTTCTATTCTGGAGGGTCAAATTCAGGGCATGCCAGTGTCCACTTATGTCTCCATCAACTCTGACAATGGCAACATCTACGCACTCCGCTCATTTGATTATGAGCAACTCAGAAACTTTCAGATTCTGGTGCAGGCTCAAGATGCTGGTTTCCCCCCTCTCGCCAGTAATGTCACAGTCAATGTGTTTGTTTTGGACCAGAATGATAATGCACCGCTCGTTATCTCCCCACTGCCCAAAAACGGAACCGTGGCCACCGAAGTGATACCACGCTCTGTGGACGCGGGGTATCTCGTTACCAAAATAACGGCGGTAGACGCAGACGCAGGTCAGAACTCCAGGCTGTCATACCAGGTGTTGCAGGCGACAGACCCGGGTTTATTAAGCGTGGCTCTGTACACGGGTGAAATCAGGACTATTCGCCGCTTAGTTGAAAAAGATGCAACAAGGCAGAGGCTGGTAATATTAATCAAGGACAACGGGCAGCCTCCGCTCTCCGCCACAGCCTCTATTGTCCTCACAGTTGTAGAGAGCGTGCCTGAGTCGCTGTCAGATTTTGGAGACCTCACACTGAGCCCCAAACCACCATCAAACCTCGCCTTGTATCTAATCGTCTCACTCAGCACAATATCCTTGATATTCCTGGTGGCTATCATAGTGCTGGCCGCCATCAAGTGCTATAAGGACAGGGAGACCCACAGCGGTTACAACCTGCCCCCTTTCGCCTGCTGCTGCTGTGGGGGATTTCAAGCAGAGCCGCCTCCGGAGATGTTTAAAAAATCCAACCTTAACTTGCAGATTTCATCCGCTGCCAAAGTACCCACGAACTGCATGGAGGTGAATGGAAATAGCAGTTTTTCTCAGTCATACTGTTATAAAGCCTGTTTGACCCCCGAATCAGCCAAAAGTGACTTTATGTTTCTGAAGCCGTGCAGCCCGAGCAGCACGCCGAGGAACAACGAGGCGAAGAGCGCGGACAACTCGTGGAACGCGCACAGCCGAAGCGCATCTGTGAACAACGGAGCAACAACTCCAAGCGAGGTAAAAGGGAAAAAAGGCAAAAAAGGGGAAAAAAAGACAAGGAGTTAGCTTATGTTTTTTTTTTATTAACTTCACTTTTTTCCCTGAAAACGCGCCTTTGACATTCCATCCTTGAAGGTCAAATTACGCATGCAACATAAGTTTAAAGTCAAACCTG